GTGCCCCCTGGCACGTAGAGGAGTGCTTGAATGCCAACTGCTGTCTGTTAAGGATTATATCATCTTCTGGGGGCCACCCCCACCACTCTCGAAGCGCTGGCCCGCGCACATCGTCGCCCCTCCCCGAGGCTCTGTCGGCGCCCAGACACGTCCCCGGCGCTTTCCAAGGAGTCGAAGATGACCAAGATGGCTTCCGAGATGGCTCAGGCAAGCCGCCAAGATAGCACAATATGTCTTCCAGACAACACTAGATCGCCCAAGAACAGTCCAAGATGGCTTCAAGACTGTCCCAGAGGTTTGAAGACAGCTGCAAGAGAACTCTCAGTATAGCCCGAGGATGCCAAAAACATGTATTTCCGTAGGTTGTCATAGGTTGTGTTTGCTCTCTCCTTTTCGGTCTTACGGGCCTCCTAGATGGCCTTACGACGAGCCAAGACGGCCTCAAAAGAGGCCAAGAAGCCTCCGAGGCGGCCTCAAGACGGCCTGAGAGGGCCCTGGAAAGCTCAGGACGAACCCAAAAAAAACTCAAGGCGGCCCAAGATAGACAAGCGCGTTCCACGACTCGCAAAGTTGCTACTTGCGAACGGCCCGGATCCACCGCCGGAGGATTTACGATCCATTACACCGAGGCAAGCATGGTTTTTTTCGTTTGCGAGCAGGCACTTTGCGAGTAGTGGAACGCGCCCCGTGACAAGAGGCCCTCAGGAGAGACTGTAGACGGCCTTAGATGACTCCTGGACGACGCAAGACGGCCTCACGACGGCCCCACGAGACCCCCCAGACGGCAACGAGGGCCCCAAGAGAGCTCCAAGACGGCCTAAGAAGGCGGCCCCAGAGGACCCCAAGGAACGCCCAAGACTGCCCCACAGGAGCCCAGGACAGCACCAAGACAGCCCAAATAATGTTCATAAGAGCTCGTCGAGAAGTGAAGACGAAAGGTGTCACATGCGACGGTTCTCCTCCTCCTCCTCCTCCTCTTCTTCCTCGTCCTCCTGATCATTGTGATCAGTATCACCATCCCCAACAGCGTCCCCGTCCTCGTTTTCATCATCACCATCATCGCCATCAACATCAACATCCTCATCATTATCATAATCAGCGGCATCAGCATCGGCATCATCATCAGCAACAGCAGCATCAGCATAAGCATCATCATCATCATCAGCAGCAGCATCAGCATCATCATCATCACCATCATCACCAGAATCATCAACACCATCATCACCACCATGATAGTCGTCATGGCCAATATCGTCTTCAAGTCGTTCCGTCGCTTCATCGTCCTACTCCGCTCCCTGCGCAAAGTACGGCAATGCCAGATGGGCTAGAACCGGCGGAGGTGTCACATGTGGCACCTGTCGGCGTTGCTCGAGCGGTCGCCGCAGAGAATCCTGGGACAGGCCAAGACAGCCCAAAGTCCAGCGATGCATCGCATATGGCGGCTTTCTAGGTTTGCCCTAACCGTCGCCGCCATGAGCATCAAACGCCGTTCACACGTTAGGGCCTCCCGACACCCTCGAGCAAGGACCACCGAGAATGCAGTGCTGGCACGGTGGCGGGCCTTGCCGCAGGCAGCTGGATCCGCCGCCCCCTCTTGATTCATCACAGGGGTGCCTGGCGCGCTGAACCCTTTCGGTTTTGGTTTTGGTTCCTTTTCCAAAAAAAATGCCCCTGGGGCTTCGGCGCGTCCCGCCGGCCACCCGAAAGGTCCGGAAAACTCTTCCAGACCCGGTTGCAAAGGGTTTTTCCTTCTCCAGACGGCTCCTAGATGGCCCAAGATGGCCTCCAAGATGCCTCCAAGACGGCCAAGATGGCCTCCAAGACGGCTAAGATAGTCCCAAGATGCACCCAAGACGGACCCAGATGGCCTCAAGATGAAGACGGCCCCCGAGGCCCAGAAGAGGCCTCCAAGACGGCCCAAGAGCGCTCCAAGACGTCCTCCAGGAAGGCCCGAAAGGGCACAAACCATTCATTTTCCTTGGGTTTGGGAGGATTTTGGCATTTTCTTCTTATCAGCTCTCCGACGGCCCAAGACGGCCCAAGAGGCCCCCAACACCGTCCCAAGATGGCCCAAGAGGCCTCCGATATGGCCCCATGACAGCCAAAGAGCCCCCCAAGAGGGCCCCAAGAAGAGCCCAAGATGGCCCAAGATGGCCCCTAAGACGCCGAAGATGGCCTCCAAGACGGCCAAGATGGTCTCCAAGATGCCTCCAAGACGGCGAAGAAGGCCTCCAAGACAGCGAATATGGCCCCAAGATGCACCCAAGACGGCACCAGATGACCTGAAGATGGCCTTAGACTGCCCGAAAGGTCCGCAAGAGGCCTCCAAGACGGCCCAAGACCCCTCCAAGACGTCCTCCAGGAAGGCCCCTCGGAAACCACCTGATCCGATAGCTCGCCCGACTCCGTATTCCCCGAAGGCTTTTGAAACCCACTCGGGAAACGCGTGGCCCGATAGCTTGGCCAAGCTCAGGCCCAACTTTCGGCCACGCAGGCGATTCGCCGCAGGCGTCATCGATAAACTCGGTTTTGGCAGGACCCTGAGTTGGCCATCCAGGGCGCACAGAAGAACTTGTAATCCATGAGCTCGGGGCGTTTAATATAGCCTTGGCACACTTGCACGCCACCCACCACCAGCTCCCCTACCTCGCCTGTGGCCTTCAATTCTCTGCTGCTGGGGTCCATAATCCACAACGGCACGTAGCTTCCCAAAGGCTTACCTATGGAGGCCAACTTTGCCGGGAGGGCGGCACGATCAACAATTTTCAAAGTGGCATCGAAAAACTCCGTGGCGCCAAAGATGTTGAATACCTGTGTGCTGGCTGGAACTGGCTTTATGCACTCGGTTGTCATACCCTCGCCTGTGAATATAATTCTCTTGAGAGCTCGTGGCACGTTAGCTCTACTAAGCTTGTTCGGTAAGGTGGACACTACGTCTACGAGAGGAATGCGAAAGATGTCTCGCGTCACCACCACAGTGCCCCCCTGCGAGAGAGGCTTGAATATGTCCGCGACGTGTACATCAAAAGTGTAGCTGTTAGAGAAGGCGCAGCGGGTACCCTCCCCGCAAGAGAGGTGGGCGTTCTGCGCGATGTTGGCTGCCGTGCCACCATGGTGCATCATAACGCCCTTCGGCCTTCCGGTGCTGCCAGATGTGTAGATGATGTATGCTAGGTCTGTGGCCTTGACCAGCACACGCTCATAAGGGGGGGGCTCTGTTTGGACGAAGGCCCGGCAATCTTCGAGCTCCAGTTTAGCACCATAAAATGTCAAGGAAGTCTCCAGGAAAGCGCGTTGAAATACCAAGCAGCGACACTCTGCCTCGTCCAGAACGGATCGCTGCTGCGATATAGGCCAACTCGTCAGGAGAGGCATATAGGCCTTCCCAGCTTTCAGGGCCCCGATGATGGCCACCACCATCTCCAGCCCCCGGTCCTGCAATAGGGCAACGATGTTGCCACAATCATTTTGGCGAGTAACCCATCCTGCCACTGCGTCAGAACACCTGTCGAGTTCAAGGTACGTCAACGAGCTGTTTTCCCACTGCACAGCCGGAAGATTTGGCACACGTTGTGCAGTCATCCTGAACAGTTCGTGCAAAACACAACATACATCATCTGAATTGCCTGCCGCAGTTGATGGGCAAGCCATTCTCTTCGAATTGGGCACCCGCGTCAGTCCGGGTGCGTTGGCAGACGTACATTCACTTGGGCTGGCTGGCTAGGCGTAACGCACGCATTTCGGCGTGCCTTGCGTGCCTTGTGCACGATCAACTTGGGCCAGTGGCTACTACGAATGTCTTCACGTACAAACCCACACCTACTTGAACAGAGCCTCAGTGAGCTCAGTCATCGGGAATTTCGTGACCTTCAGAACCTTCTTGTTGATCAGGCATCCAAGGCCACCTTGAGCATTCGCAGCCGAATGGAGCCCTCTTCAGCTCTTGGAAGCATCTTGGGAATCTGGGGTGAGGCTCATGGGCCGTCTAGGGGACCTCCTGCGACAATCTCGGGGTGTCTATAGAAGAGCCCAATGGCGGGAACGTGTGAGAGGAAGGCTGAAACACCCGTGCCAATACCCCCTCTCTGTCCCTTCCCCTTCCTCAGCGCTGATGCTTGGGACTTGACACGCTCAGGGTGTCGCGCTGGCGAGCCAGAACCAGCCACGCGACACGTCAAACCTTGAACGATCGCGGCTGTCCGATCGACCAGGACCGTTCGACATCGGCCGATTCTGGGCCACTGGCGACGTTCAACCTTGAGCGCCCGAGTTGTGAGCGCCGCCGCGCCAGCACGACACGAGCCTGCCGTGAGCAAGAGATCTTGACCGCAACTCGTTCGTCCGCTGATGGGGAGGTCAGACTTCAAGGGGAACAGAAGTTCTCATATACTTATTGGCCCGGGCAAGCAATCTCCACAGTAGCTACCCAAGGAGGAAAGATGGGAAGATGCATCTTCTGAGACGAATGCGGCCCGAAACGAAGAGGACGTATGGAATTGAGCCCACCCTCTCCTGACCCCTAAAAGGCGGACCACCCCGACTAGTAGCAGGCCAAGGAGCAGCCCTCCGGCCCGCCTCCCGCTCCAGCAGGCGCAAAGAACTAGTAGGTGGACGGTGGCTCACGGTGGCCTTCGGCGATCATTGGCGGTCTTCTGCGCGAAAGCTGGACAGTTTGAGTTGACGAGGGGGGGTCTATGATCGAATTCCTTTCTTGTCCGCGGGCGCCAAGTGGTCCAAGACCGTCAGACACCGGTCAGCAAGCAGTGGCGAGCGAAGTGAGGCACGAAGGCGAAGAGGAAACGAGAGCGAGGAGGGAAGAGAGAGGAGCCCGCTCAGACTATGAAAGCCAGCGCGGGGATGCCGTAGATCTTGCATGGTCTGGGACCAAACACGTGACGAATGCAGCCCTCTGGCCCTCCCGCCTCCCGCCTCTCGCCCCGCCTCTCGCCCAAAGTGTGCCGCCGAAGGGCGCGCCGCGGCGGCCGCGGGGGCGACCGCGGGCCTCGTCGAGGACTCCCGCAGGCGGCGGCCACTGGCCTCCGCGGCCCGGCTCGGCTGATGTTGCGACCGCAGGAGGCAACCTTTCTGACTTTACGGACAGACAACCAAAACGAAGAAGACAAAAAGGGTAGCCCAACGCAGAAAACAACCAAAACGACCGAACTAAACTGCAATACAGCACGGAACCGAGAATACCACAACGTACAAAAAATACGGAGAACCCAACCCATTGCAAACACGTGGCGAAAAGTAGCAGGAGCACTCAATGCGCATGAACATACTGAGGGATATCCAATACCCCTGAACGCTTAGGCGAGAAACGGAAGCTATGCTCAAAGCCGCCCCATTCACGCATGCACTCTCACTGGGGCCTTTGGCGGAGCTCCCTTCGGGGCCACGAAACATGTGAGGGGTGTGCCGAAGTGCACCCGAGTACACATGCGAACCCTGCCACTGGAGCCCTTGGTGGGGCTCCCTATGGGGACACGAAGCGTGTGAGGGGCGTGCCGAAGTGATCCCGAGCACGCATGCGAAGCCTGGCACTGGAGCCTTCGGTGGAGCCCCCTGCAGGGCAACGAAGCGTGTGAGATGTGCGCCAGGCACGGACCTGAGTACGCATGCGAACCCTGCCACTGGAGCCCTTGGTGGGGCTCCTGATGGGGCGACAGAATGGACCCGAGTACGCATGCGAACCCTGCCACTGGAGCCTTCGGCGGAGATTCCTATGCGGCAACGAAAAGTGTGAGGGATGTGGCGAAAAGATGATGTGAATAATGGAGATGTTGACAAGGATGACGGCGATGATGCTGACGAGGACGATGATGGCGACGATGAGGATGATACCAATGAGAAGGATGAGGAGGAAGAGAAGAGGAGGAAGGAGGAAAGGAGAAAGGAAGGAAGGACCGAAGAGACGCGCGGCGCTGCGAATTCAACGCGAGGACTTAACACACAGGACGGTTGGAAGCGAACCCCAACACGAAGTTACCCCGGCGAAGAAGTCAACACATTGGAAACGCGCTGTGGAAATTAGAAGGAGCACTCAATGCACATGAAAACCACTCAGGGATATGCAATACCCCTCAACGCACCAAAAGCCGCCCCATTCACGCATGCACTCTCACTGGGGCCTCCGGTGGAGCTCCTTGCGGGGCACCGAAGCGTGTGAGGAGTCTGCCAAAATGGACCAGAATACGCATGCCGACACTGCCACTAAGGCCTCCGGTGGAGCTCCCTATGGGGCCACGAAACCTGTGAGGGGTGTCCCGGCACGGACCCGAGTACGATGCGAACCCTGCCACTGGAGCCTTCGGCGGGGCCCTCTACGGGGCCACGGAGCGGGCGAAGGGTGCCCCAGACATGGACCCGAGTACGAGTACGCATGCGAACCCTGCCAATGGGGCCTTCTGCGGAGCTCCATGCGGGGCCACGAATCGTGTCAGGAGTGTGCCGAAGTGAACCCGAGTACGCATGCGAACCCTGCCACAAAGGCCGTCGGTGAAAACCCCTACGGGGTCACCAAACGTGTGAGAGGTGTGCCGAAATGGGCCCGAGTACACATGCGAACCCTGCCACGGGGACCTTCGGCGGCTATGGGCCCACGAAAAATGTGAGGAGTGCGCCAAAACTGATTCAGATACACACGAATCTTGTCACTGGGGCCCTCGGCAGAACTGCCTATGGGGCCACGAAGCGCGCGAAAGGTTCGCCGAAATGGATCCTCGGGTACGCGTGCGAACCTTGCCACTGGCGCCTCCGGTGGAGGCCTCATATGTGGCCACGAAACGGGCGAAGGATGTCCCAGAATGGACCCGAGTACGCATGAGAACCCTGCCCCTGGAACATTTGGCGGAGCTCCCTATGGCTCCACGAAACATGTGAGGTGTGCCAAAACGGACCCTACTACACATGCGAATCCTGCCGCTGGAGCCCTCGGCGGCGCTCCCTATAGAGCCACGACCGTGTGAGGGGTGTGCCGCAATGGACCCGAGTACGCATGCGAACCCTGCCACTAGAGCCTTCGGCGGAATTCCTTATGGGGCCATGAAGCGTGTGAAGGGTGTAGACACACGGAGATGTGAATGATGGAGGTGGTGATGAGGATGTAGGCGATGATGCTGGCGACGACGATGGTGATAACGACGAGGAGGATGGTACTTATGACACGGATGAGGAAGATGCGAAGAGGAGGAATGAGGCGGAGGAGGAGAAGAAGAAAGGAAAGAAGGACCGAGGAGACGCGCGGCGCTGCGAACCCACAACGAGGACCCAACACACAGTACGGTTGGGGAGCATCGTCCTGCAAAAACGGAAGAAGAGCATCCTGATTAAGAACCCAAGTCATGCCATATGCGTGGCTGATATTAACAGGAGCGCTCAATGCACATTAGAGGGATATGCAGTACCTCTGCACGCAAGCCGCCCACTTCACGCATGCACACTCACTGGTGCCTTCGGTGGAGCTCCCCCCATGGGGCCACGAAACGTGTGTGGGGTGTGCCGACATGGACTCGAGTACACCTGCGAACCCTGCCGCTTGAGCCCTCAGTGGAGCTCCCAATGGGGCCACAAAAAATGTGAGGGGGGTGCCAAAGTGAACCCGAGTACTGTACGCATGCGAGCCCTGCCACTAAGGACTTCGGTGTACCTCCCTACGGGGCCACAAAGCATGTGAGATGTGCGCCAGACATGGACCCGAGTACGCATGCGAACCCTGCCACTGAGATATTCGGCGGAGCTCCCTGTGGGGCCACGATACATGTGAGGGGTGCGCCGCAGTGAACCCGAGTACGCATGCGAAGCCTGCCACTGGAGCCCTCGGCGGAGCACCCTTTGGGGCCACGGAACATGTGAGGGGTGTGCCGAAGTGAACCCGAGTACGAATGCGAAGCCTGCCACTGAAGCCTGCGGTGGGGCTCCCTATGGGGCCACGAAATGTGTGTAGAGCGTGCCCCAAAATGGACCCGAGTACGCATGCGAACCCTGCTACTGGTGCCTACGTGTGAGGGGAGTGCCAGAATGGACCCGAATTCGCATGCGAGCCATGCCACTGGAGCCTTCGGCAGAGCGCACTATGGGGCAACGAAGCGTGAGGCGTGTGGCAACACTGCGATGTGAATGACGGTGATGGTAACGAGTATGAAGGCGAGGATGCTGACGATGACGATGATGGCGACGATGAGGATGGTACTAATGAAAAGGGCGAGGAGGAATGAGGGGAGGAGGGAGGAAGGAAGGAAGGAAGAAGGAAAGAAATAAAGAAAGAAAGGAGACGCATGGCGCTGCGAATTCAAAACGAGGTCCGACCCAACACACAGAGATTGGGAACAATAATGGCCCCAGCATTTGTGTTGATCCTCTGACCCCGGGCGCGCCCCTCCACCCTCCCCAAGGGCCGGGCATACGGGTAGCCGGACGGGAAGGGAGAGAGAGGCCAGGGCGCAGAGGAGAGAAGGAGCACTCGGAGGGGCTCGATGAGCGTGCGCCGCGTCGTTGGCTTGGCCACGGGCCTCCCCTCCTGGGCGAGAAGGGCTTGCCATCCTTTGGACGGCCGTTCCCTCGTGCACTGTTTGGTTCCGTGCGCGTTCATATTCCTCCCAAGGTCATCCAAGATGCTCCAAGATGGTCCAGATTTTCTGGCACTGGCCTGGTGGAGAAGAAATGCACATGTCCGAGCGATGTCAAGGGGAGTTCCGCGCACGGGCGCTCCAGCATCCCAGCACCCCATAGCTTGGGAAGCTGGGGGGTGGCGGGGATGGGCGGAGCGAGTTCAACGAGTTTGATTCCCCCCCTCGCCGTCCGCGCGGCCCGCCAACGTCGGCCGGTGCTCCGGCGCCGGCGACAGCGACAGCGACGACGAAGACGACGACGACGCAGAGTACACTTCGAGGCCGTGCCAGGGCGCGGGGCAGTGCCCCCACCGCCAGCCGTGGCGTTGCACGGAGGGGCTGCCCGCCGCTCTGGCCCGTGGCGAGTCGGGCCGAAGACAGCTGTGGGGCCGCCAGAGCCTGGTGCTGCACGTGGGCCCCATGCAGAGAATGCCGAAACCTGGATCCCGCGAGAACGCCCGAGAGACCCGTTGACCCCGAGCGCGTGAAGGGGAGGGGCGGCGAGAGGACGACGACAACGGAGAGGAGGGTGGAGGGGTGGGGAGGGAGGGAGTGTGAGGGAGGGAGCGAGGAGAGGCAGGATGAGGCTCTCGTTGGTAAGCTTGAGGGTAGCGGGCGGACAGGGGGCGGGATTGTGCGGGGCAGCGGCTTGCGGAAGAGAGGCCTGGCAAAGCTGCATCGACGCACAGGCCGCGTGGGACATTTTGACAAAGTCTCATCGGGCCGCCCTGGATGGAGGCCTTCCATATGGGGTCCGAGTAGATGGAATCGGTGGATCGCGCCGCATCGCCAACGCATCGCCGATGCATCGGAGATACATCGGCGCACATGTCCGATTCATCTGCGCCGTCGGCGTGGACGAAATCAGGCTCCACATCGAGCCGCCTTGGCAATGCATCGGCGATGCGGCGCGATCCCCGACACCATCTACTATCTACCCTGACCACATCTAGGAGGCGTAGACGGGAATCGTCGTGGGAGGCTTTCGATCATCTTGGGCCATCTTGACTGCCTCTGGGCGTCCTCCTCAGTCCTCCTCCTCTTTCCTCCCCCCGCCCCTCCCCTCCCCTCCCCAAACATCCGCCGATATAATTTGTTCCATGCGCGTCTCCAGGGGCCCCGACCCTTTCCCCTTGAGCAATTTCGCGTCCCAGATCAATTTGCGATGCCCCCAAGCCCCCGACTGCGGAAGACGGCGAGCGCATCCACGCCAGACCTGCCGGTGCACTCCGAGTACTCCTCGCGCGGCTTTCCCCTGGCGCCCCTGCCCCCCTGGGCGGCCCAGGGGGAGCAAGCGCCCCACGGGGGCAGCGGCTCTGGCGGAGCAAAGGGGTACGGGGCCAGAGGCAGGGATGAGATGTGGGAGAAGGAAAGCCTCAGCCCTGCTATCCCTGCTGCTGCTCCTGTTCCTGTTCTTGCTCCTCCTCCTCCTCCTCCTCCTCCTCCTCCTTCCTGGTCCTCCTCCTCCTCCTCCTCCATCCTGGTCCTCCTCCTCCTCCTCCTTCCTGGTCCTCCTCCTCCTCCTCCTCCTCCTCCTCCTCCTCTTCGTCCTCCTCCTCCTCCTCCTCCTCCTCCTCCTCCTCCTCCTCCCCCTCCTCCTCCTCATCCTCCTCCTCCCTCTCCATCTCCTTATAGATCGATTACTTTTCCGTGTCGCGCCCCGAGGCTAGTTTTTTGTTAAGCGGGCTGGGCGTTTCGCTTCAGACTTCCTCACTATTGATTATTCTGAAATTTAAAAAGTGACAGCAGCTTCACAGATGAAGGACGGGTCGTTTTCAAAATGCGGCTCTCGCCTCAGCGCCGCGCGCATTCGATTTCAAAATTTGCAAGAGTTTCACGGACTGAGGGCGGGTCGCTTTCAAAATGTGAATCTCGCCTTAGCCCCGCACGCATTCGCTCTAATTATTTGCAAGAGCTTCACGAATTTGGGGCGGGTCGTTTTCAAAACGTGGCTCTCGCCTTAGCGCCGCGCGCATTCGTTTTTAACTTTCGCAAGAGCTTCACGGATTGAGGGCGGGCCGTTTTCAAAATGTGGCTCTCGCCTTAGCGCCGCGCACATTTGTTTTGAACATTTGCAGGAGCTTACGGATTTCCATGATCAGCGTACCAGAAATGGGGTTTGGGAAATATTCACGGTGATGCGGGTGCAACAACTATGCTGGCTCGCGGAGTTGAAGTCCCAACACTGGCGTGCAGGCACAAATCCGGATCGCTAAGACGCAGCAGTCAGCTTGATACGCGGCGTTGAAATACCGAAAACAATGTTTTGGCAGTCCCCCGGATCTTCAAACGGTTGTCTTCCAACGAGGCAATTCCCTCAATGAAATGAACCGCTGTAGGGGCCTATGGACAAGGAGCTTGGAGAGAGGTAATTCCGACATCGTTAATGACTCTTGGGTTTACACTCGTCTTCCTCCTCCTCCGCCTCCTCCTGAAACAAGCCCCCCGCCTGAGACATCCTCACACACTGCTCTAAACGCAAACGAGTCTGCCCACCAAAACAGCCAAACCGCCTGAGACATCCCCACAAACTGGCCGCGAACGGGCCCGTGAAAACACCCCTGGCGGCTCCCCTTAGGGGTGCTGAAACCAGCACCCCGCCTGAGACATCCTCACACACTGCTCTAAACGCAAACGAGTCTGCCCACCAAAACAGCCAAACCGCCTGAGACATCCCCACAAACTGGCTGCGAACGGGCCCGTGAAAACACCCCTGGCGGCTCCTCTTAGGGGAGTATGAGTATGAGTAAGTCTGAGTTTGTGTAGGTCTGAGAATGAGTAGGTCTGAGTGTGAGTAAGTCTGTGTATGAGTAAGTCTGTGTATGAGTACGTCTGGATATGAATAAGTATGGGTATGAGTAAGTCTGTGTATGAGAAAGTGTGTTTATGTGTACGTCTGGGTGTGAGTAAGTCTGAGTATGAGTAGGTCTGAGTATGAGTATGTCTGAGTATGAGTAAGTCTGTGTATGAGTAAGTCTGGGTATGAGTAAGTCTGAGTATGAGTAAGTCCGAGAGGAGGGGAGGAGAAGAAGAGGGAGTAGGAGGCGTCAAAGTAATAACAAGAACCCCATCTTAGGATATGGGGAACAATATTTCTAGTTCGCGCGCGCAGGGCGGCCCATGTAGGTCCGCGGCCGACAAATACCCCGAGCAGGTCCCAGGCAGGGAGATGGTTCTGCTCCTGGGCGCCGCCCTCAGGGCCTCCCAAGAGCCCCAAGAGCGGCCCTGAGGCCCCCAAGAGGCCCCCAGGGCACGAGAACACCACCACGCAGCCACAGTGATGCGAAATGGGCCGGCGGAGTGAGCGAACCGATTCAATAGTTTCCAGGGGAGCAACACGCGGCCCATGAAGAATTGAGAGGGCGGCCCACTCATTCGTGCAGAACATTCCCGGCAAGATGCGAAAGACAGACGCCAAAGCAGCCAGCTCGATCTGGCGGTATTCCCTCGGGAGCGGCACAAACTGCGTCACGTAGCTCAGAGTTGGCATACATCGCGTAGCGCCGTAGCACAGCAAAGGAGGAGGAGGAGGAGGAGGAGGAGGGGCAGGAGGAGGAAAGAGGAGGAGGAGGAGGAGAAGGATGAGGAGAAGGACGAGGAGGACGACGAGGAGCAGGGGGAGGAGGGGGAGGAGCGGAGGAGGGAGGAGGAGGAGGAGGAGGAGGAGGAGAAGGGCGGAGGAGAAGGGCGGAGGGCCTTGGGGAGGCAGGAGGGCGGAGGGCGGAGAGGGGTACGAATCCCTGGCGACGGTGCCTGGCAGAAAGGGCGATCCCTGGCCAATGGCCGAGCGTCAGTACGAGCTGCCGCTCGGCCCGACCTTCCCTTGTCCTTCTCCGCCTGCCCTGCGGAAAAAATGCACCACTATTGCAGCTGGTCGTAGAAAATGCGGTGCGGGAAGAGGGGCCGAGCACAAGGTCAAGCTCGGAAGCGCATTGGAGAGACAGCATGGGCGGGTTGATGTTAGCATCGGGGCTCACTTCCTCGCCCTCACCCTCCAGAACAACATCTGCTTTTCTTGCCAATCAGCGTCTTCCTTCTCCTCCTCATCATCACCATCACCACCATCATCAGCATCAGCATCAGCATCAGCATCATGGTCATCCTCATCCTCATCCTCATCGTCGTCGTCGTCATCATACTCATACTCATAATCATCATCATCATCATCATCATCATCATCATCATCAGCAGCAGCAGCAGAAGCGTCAGCATCATCACCACCACCACCATCATCAGCAGCAGCATCGTCACCGTCACCAGCATACTCATAAGCATAAACATCATCAGCATCAGCATCAGCATAGCATCAGCATCAGCATCAACATCATCATCTGCAGCATCACCATCAGCATCATCAATAGTATTTCATCATCGCCAGCAGCATCATTATCAGCAGCAGCATGCTCATTGTCATCAGCAGAATCCTAAACATCATCAGCATCAACATCAGAAACAGCATCAGCACCATCATCAGCATTACCATGATCAGCATCATCAGCAGCAGCATCATCAGCATCATCACTATCGTCGTCATCCTCAGCATCATCAGCATCATCAGCAGCAGAAGCAGCGGCGGCGGCAGCATCTGCATAACCATCACCATCACCTCCATCATAAACATTAAACTTACTATCGTAAGCAGCAGCCGACTCAGCATCGCCAGTAGCAGCAGCATCAACATGTTCACCATCATCACCAGAATCAGTATAATCATCACAACCCTCATCATCATCAACATCATCATCGTCATCATCAGCACCATCATCACCATCAGCACCATCATCATCATAATAACCACCGGCGTCAACAGCATCATGATCGTCGTCGCCATCATCATTACCATCATCATGAATCGTCAGCATTCTCAGCACCATCATCATCGTCGTCGTCATCAGCATCATTATCACCCACAGCATCATCATCAACATCATCATCACCATCATCATCATCATCGTCATCATCATGAAAATAATCATTATCATCATTATCATCCGCAGCAACACCACGGCATCGTCCTCCTCGCCCCAGGAACGACCCGCACCCCTCTCCAGTTTTGCGGTTGGGCCAGAACTTCGAAGGGCATCCAGCCGCGGCGACGAGAAGCTACCGAAGGCACGAAAAAGGTAACCCCCTTCTCCTCCTCCTCATCCCACCTCCCCCTCAACCCCTTATCCTGCTCTTCTCTTCTCCCCTTCCTCCTCGTCCTTCCTCCTTATCCTGCTCCGCTCTCATCCTTCCCCTGCTCCCTCCTCCTCCTCCTCCTCCTCCTCCTCATCCTTCCCCTCCTCCTCATCATCAGCACCAGCATCAGCATCAGCATCAGCATCAGCATCAGCATCATCATCATCATCATCATCATCATCATTATCATCATCATCATCATCATCATCACCATCAGCATCAGCATCAGCATCAGCATCAGCATCATCGTCGCCGTGATCATTAAAACTACCACCACCATAATCGCCACCAATAACAAGCACATCATCGTCATCATCTCCTCCGCCATCATTATGCTCATCCTCATCATTACCAACAACATTTTCATCGCCATCATCATCGTCATCCTCATCATCGTCGTCATCATCACAGTCCATCTTCATCATCATCATCATCATCATCATCAGCATCACCATCATCATTAGCCGAATCATCATCACAACTATTATCAGTACTGTCATCGTCAACAACCTTCCCTCCTGGTCCCTGCCAAAGTGACATGTGGCGGCGAGGCAGCATCGGATCACCCGGTCCTGCAGGCACATCCCCACCTGGCCGAGCACACCCGCGCGCGACGCGTCGCTGCCGCTGCATGGGCATGGCCCTGCTCTACGGGCATCTGCATGCACTACGCATGCAGTTGCCCTCTTCTCTCCCCCCCTGTCTCACTCTCTCTCTCTCTCTTTCTCTGTCTCTCTCTCACGGGGGGGACGAAAAAAGGGGGATAGCAGAGGGTAGGGTAGAGAATCAGCTCACGTAGCTGATTTTCCCAGCGCCTCCTGGCGCCGGGAGGCGCCCATGTATCGAGGAATGGGCCCAGCGGCGGGGCCGAAATCAGCTGCACGCAGCAGATTTCGTAACCCCGCTTTCCCTATCCCCCCCTTTTTGTTCGGCCCGACTCTCTCTCTTTCTCTTTTTCTCTCTCTCTCTCTCTCTCTCTCTCTATATATATATATATATATATATATATATATATATATATCGGGAGCTCGTCGACAGGAGGAGTCTACGGGGGTCTCGAGACCGTCTGGGGCCGCCAGAATTGCTGTCTGAGGGCATCCCGGGGCGATTTTAAGCCTCCCGGTGCCGGGCCCAGGCCCAAGTCCCCACATTTATGGTCGATGTTCCGGCCCTCGGCCCCCGAGCCCGGTGCGCCGTTATGTATACATTCATACACACATACACACATGCATACATACATACTTACATACATACACACATACATACATACGTGCGTACATACATACATACCTGCATACATACATGCATACATACATACATCCATACATACATACATACATTAATTATTATTAGCACAGCTTGGGCGCCAGCCGAGGCGCCGAAGTCTCTTGAAAAAAAACCCGCCGAGAGGAGAGACGGCCAAGGGACCAGGGGGCCAAGGCCAGAGACCCAGGGGCCCAGGACGGCCCAGGACCCAGGGAGAGAAGAAAGAGCGGCCCAACCCCCCGCTCCGCCCTCGGCGGCACGCTCACGCGAGGAGGCAGCGCGTGCGCCCCGCGCGGCCTCGCCGCCCGCTGCCGCCCCAGCCCCGCGGCCGAGCGGGCGCCCCAGCCGAAGGGCGGGCGGAGGCGAGGCGCCACGACGGCGTGCCTCGGCAGGCGCGGGCACGGACCGCCCGTCGGTGGCCCGCCCGCCGCGCCCATCAACCAGCCTGCGGATCACGTCCATCAGCGCTGGCCCAACCACTCCTGAAGGCTCCGATGGAGCCCGCCTGGCGGCGCGGTGCCCAGCAGCTCCTCGCTGCCGACCTTGATCATGGCCTTCTTGAACGTGGCCGCGACCTCGGGCACCCCCACCGCCACGCACACTCGGGTGTGCTTCTTGTCGCACATGTCCTTGACCTTGAAGTACTTGAAGCTGGACATCGTGAACTCCTTGTCGCTGGCCTGAACGTGGGGCGCCTTCACTGGCCCCCCCACGTCGGTGCCCGTCACCTCCGCCGCGCTGGCGAGGGAGCGCTCCGCCGATTCCAGGAGGTAGGGCAGCGGTGGTCCCAGGTCGTGCTGCGCGGGGCTCTTGCCGCGGCACATCTCGCTGTAATTATTGCCCGCATCCTTCACGTTCTTGATCATGTCGTTGCCGATCGGCACCTTGAACATGACGTGGCAGGCCGGCTCGAGGTCGCGGATCTGGAGGTCGTGCGAGAGTCGAAAGCTGGGCGAGGGCTGCTAAAACCGTGGCTGCTAAAACGGCCCTCCCGGAAGAAAAAAACAACTTCCCGGAATGAGGCGCGGCACGCGAAACAGTCAACGGGCTTCTTCCCGGAAGGACGCAGACAACTTCCCGGAGGTCGATTTTAGCAGCCACGGATTTAGCAGCCCTTGCCCGGCTTCTGAGAGAGCACCAGGCGCGCCATCGAGGCCACCATCTCCTCGAACTCGTCCTGCTGGCGGCGGGCGCGAGACTTCGCGGCGGCCTTGGCCCTGCCTCGCGGCTGGGGGGCCGCCTCGCCCTGGCCCTCCTCGCCCCCGCGGCGTGGGCCTCCTGCAGGGCGCTGACGAGCACGGCGGCCGCCTGGCGGCCCCCCCACCACCACGCGGGCCCCGTCCTCGGCCACGGCTGGCGCACCCGCCAGAGCCCAGGCTGGCGCCCGCGGCGCGGCCGCGGCTGGCGCAGCCGCCAGGGCCAGCATGGCCACGAGGCTTCGGGGGCCGCGGCGGCAGCAAAACAGATCTCCCCCCTGCGAAATGCACTGACAGGAAATGGCTGTAGTGGTGCTCCAGCGTCGGGGACAGCTCGCCGCGCACAGGACATCGAATATCGTCTGGGACCAACAACTTCGGCGCAGCATACGCCAGCCCTCCCCGACAGTACCCTCGAGCAAGAGCGAACCTGACGTGCTGCGCAGCCGAAGCCCTAGACGCCAGCACCGCCCCGCAGAACCCACACAGATTCTACACGCACAAGGAAGACTCGATCGCCCGATACTTGTGAGAGCTGATTTTGCACCACAGCAGGGCTCGCTCCGAACAGAAGGCGGCCCCGCACAGGCCCTCAGCGCAGGGCCCCTGGCACGCGAACTCGAAGTCACCGATGTCGATGAGGCCAGGCGGCTCACGTGCACAGCGAAAACGGTCGCCATGAAGTGTCCACCAGCGATGCCGCACGGCCGCGGGCACCTCTCGCGACGGCGGGCACTGCGCCGCCCATCCGCGGACCCGAAGCACACGAGGGTCGAGCTGAAGGACCTCATCACGCAGAGCACCCTGCAGCAGCACGAGGGGGCGCTCGCCCCGCGCCTCCAGTAGGTCCACGCGCTCTGACGCGTGCAAGAGCCGCTTCAAGTCGTCCACCATCAGCCTCGCGAGCGCCGAGGCCCCCTCGCCCAAGCGGCCGTCCTCGCCCAGCGCGGGCTGCAGCACGCAGGGCAGCTGGCCGAACAGCGCCGTGAGCTCCATCTCGTGATCCCCAGGATGGCGCACCATGCACTTCATGAGCCCGAGCCTCACCGCGCGCAGCTCGGTCTCGATGTCCGCCATCTGCAGCAGCTGGCGCACGACCTGGGAGGGCATGGCCCTGTGCTGGTAGCCCTCCTCATCCAGGAAGCCCCTCAACACACGCGCGCCCAGGGCCGAACGGCGCAGGCGCAGCGCGCCCCCCCCCCCCCCCCCCCCCCCCCCCAGGAGCCAGGAAAGACTGCGTGGGCACGACCGCCGCCGCCCTCGAGAGGAGGGCCCCCAACGCCTTTGAGCGGAAGACCTGCTGCGCCACCTCGACGGAGGTCTCAGACTTCCAGAAGCGCCCCCTGTCCGCGAAGCCCCGCGTGGCCGCCGCCGCGCGAGCCCTGATCTCCGTCGCCAGGCCGCCCTGGTAGTGCAGCATCGGGCCCAGGTAGCGGGCGACCGTCGAGCAGTTGCCCCTCACGCCGAGCCGGCCCGCGAAGAAGGCCCTCGTCCAGGCCCCGGCCCCAACCCCACGGAAGGCGCGCATGGCGCACTGCTTGGAGATGTTATGCTGGAACCCGCGCGGCTCCAGCAACCTGTCCAGCAGCTCCTCCGAGGCCCTGCGATTCTTGATCACCGCGTCGTGGCACCACGAGACGAAGCGCTTGCAGGGGTCATCCGCGAACTTCGTGAGGCCGAGGTCCAGCACGGCGCCCGCGACGACGGACGTCGCCTGCAGCAGCTGCGCGTCGGGCCGACCTGAGTCCTCGATGGCCCACTCGGTCGCAACTGGTGAACGCCTCGAGGAAGAGCGGAGGGCCGATCGAGTCGCCGATGAGCACGCCCCAGTTAGTCTTCATGCGCAGCACCCCCTCGGCCGTCTCGACCTCGCAGTGGTAGTCGAGGACCCTGCGCGCCACAATGGGGTGGTCCTCCACGCGCACCAAGCCCTCCAGGCCCCGCATCATGTCGCCCACGGGCGGGCACTGGAACGCCTTGCTCAAGTCCTTGAAGCTCGTGATCGCCGCGAAGCCGAAGCGCGCCGCCCGCTCGGCCACCACTGCGGTGACCACCGGAGCCCCATCCCGAGAGCGCCCCGGGGCAAAGCCGAAGTCATTCGGCGCCGCCATCTCCTTCTCAGCCCTCGTCGTCAGCACCGTGGCGTAGCAGTTGCCGATGGGGCACATCACGTGGATGACCCTGCCGATGTCCGCCGCCCTAGAACTGGGCCACGCCAGAGGGGCAGCCTGGAACACGTGGACGAGGGCCAGGCAGTGCAGCAGCCGCTCCCTGAGCGCCTTCGTGCTCGGGGGCTCCGACCTGTAGCCGATGCCCTCGCCCTGCGCCGCAGCCGACCTCGACGCCGAGCACATCCCCCGCGCTGGCACAGGCGCCGACCACGGCGGCGCTGCACGTCGAGGCTGCGTCCTCCTGCGCAGGCGCTCCTCCAGTTTTTCTCAAGTCCAGCGCCGCCGCCTCCTCAGCCTCCCGCGCCGAGCAGCACCTGACCAGCGGCTGCCCGGGCTGCTCAAGGCACGGCCTCGAGCCCAGCTCCGTCGCCGCGTATCCCCCCAAGGCGCCCGGGGCCCTCGAGGAGCTGGCGCCGCGCCGCCGCCGTGAGCTCCAGGCGGGGTGTGCAGTGCACCCGACGCCGCGTGCCCTTCCCCCTCTCGCCGAGCAAGTGGGCCAGCCTCCAGACCGCGGCCGCGCCGCCCACCCTCTCCGCCTCCGCCTGCGCCTCGCAGCGCACCGCGCGGAGCCGCCTGCGCTGCTGCCGCTGCAGTGCGTGCAGGCGGCGGGCGGCGTCCCTGAGCTCCTGCGCGCACCTCTCCACCTCGGCCTCCGTCGAAGTCGCCGCCTCACCCTCGATCACGTGCCGACGGCGGCTGGCCGCCGGCTCCTGCAACAACTTCTTGGGCAGCGCCGTCGCCTCATCCATCTCCCTCGTGTCGCGCGCCTTGGCGCCGAAGTGCGCCAGGCCCACCTCGCGCACCGTCTCCACCAGCTCGTCCCACGCCTCGTCGGGCCCCAGCTCGTCCTCCAGCTGCGGGCGGACCAGGTGCTCGCACTGGCATTCCAGCTCCCTCAAGAACTCCGCCTTGCCCTGGTGGCGCTTCATGGCCTGCATGCACGCGTCCATGTCCCACTGCGCCCTCTCAGCCCTGGGGAGGAGCTCGGGGTGCACAGGCATGATCATCACCGACAGCCCCAGCGGCGTGTGATCCCTCCTTCCTCTCGCTCGGATGGCCTGCCACCTGTCGCCGATCGCGTAGAGCGGCTTGCAGGGCCCCACACTCTGCATGAGCTCGCGCGGAATCGCGATCACATCTGGCTTAGACCTGGCCCCGCGGGGCCCGAAAAAGTGTAGCCCTCGTAGAACGTGTTGACAGTGGCGAGCCCCCAGTCCTCGCATAGCCGCCTCCACGCCGCGCCAGACTCGTGCTCCAGCGCGGGCTCGACCCCTCCTATAGCCTCCGACAAGGGCACGCAGACCCCCGCCTCATGCTTGACCATGCCAGCCCCGTCGTTGAGGTCGGCGCAGAGCAGCGGCGCGAAGCGGACGGGGGTCTCCATGAGGCACCGCTGCGCCCACGTAAACAGAGCCTCCGCCGCCGCCTGCTGGACCGCCAAACCCCTCACAGGGAAGTAGAGGGCCAGCGCCAGGACGTCCAGCGCCCCGCGCCGCAGGCGCGCGCCGCCGCCTCGCCCCCGCAGGGCCGGCGGCGGCGACAGGAACTTCAGCACCTTGAAACCCTTCTTGAAAAGATCGAGACCCCACATGCCTTGTTGGTTTGCCCGCCTCGACCCAAACCCCAGTGCAGGGCGTCGTGGTTCGGCAGGGTCTGCTTCGAGACGCCCCCGCCGCCGCTCCACTTCATTTGTGTGCCCTGCAGCGCCACGATGTCGTAGTGCTCGAGCTCCTGGCTGATATCCTCCGATCGGACGCGCCTGCACAGCGAGAGCGGGTTGTAGCTGACCACTCGCATCGGCACGTCCCCAAACAGGGGAACCAGCCTCAGCGCGCCAGGGGCCTCGCGCAAGCGGGAGGCGATGGCGAAGACATGGCGCAGCCGGATGGTGCCGTGAGCATCTTGGCGTCGCGGCCCGCCGAGCCTCCGAGCAGATTGCGACGCTACATACATACATACATACATACATACATCCATCCATCCATCCATCCATCCATACATACATACATACATACATACATACATACATACACACACATACATACATACATACATGCATGCATGCATGCATGCATGCATACCAACATACATACATACATACAAACATACAAACATACATACATACATATAGGCGCAGCCCCCCCCCAGCACCCACTGATTTTCATCGCGGTTCGCGCTGATCGCACTCGCATTTTCTTTACTGTCAGATTCGGTTCTCGCCCTGAGACGGCGGCGTCGAATAATGAACGTCATCTGGAGAGCCAACCACTTGATCCTGCATCTCCTTCCCCTCTTTCACCTCGTCCATCCTCCTCCTCCTCCTCCTCCTCCTCCTCCTCCTCCTCCTCCTCCTCCTCCTCCTCAACCTCAGAAGATGCAAACGTCCGCTTCCCCCGCCTTTGGGAGAACAGGTATAACATATCAGCGGCAGCGCTAACAAGAACGATAAGCGAACCATATGATTTCTCAGGCACTCCAGGGATGCACAGGGATGCTAAGTGACGATCGCTGTGCAGGCTCAGGGATCCCAGGGATTCCAGGGATGCGAAGTCACGATCCCTGAGCAGGCTCAGGGACCCCAGAGCTTCCAGGGATGCGAAGTCACGATCCCTGTGCAGGCTCAGGGATCCCAGGGATCCCAAGGATTCCTAACCCTCCAGCAAAACCGACCTGGGGATCCACCAGCGATCCCGCGCTCAGAATCCCTGGGATCCCTGAGCCTGCTCAGGGATCGCGACGTCGGTTGTCAGCAAACCATATGATTTCTCAGGGATCCCAGGGATTCCAAGGATGGCAAGTCACGATCCCTGAGCAGGCTCAGGGATCCCAGGGTTCCAGGGATGCGAAGTCACGATCCCTGTGCAGGCTCAGGGATCCCAGGGATCCCAAGGATTCCTAACCCTCCAGCAAAACCGACCTGGGGATCCACCAGCGATCCCGCGCTCAGAATCCCTGGGATCCCTGAGCCTGCTCAGGGATCGCGACGTCGGTGGTCAGCAAACCATATGATGTCTCAGGGATCCCAGGGATTCCAGGGATGCCAAGTCACGATCCCTGAGCAGGCTCAGGGATCCCAGGGATTCCAGGGATGCGAAGTCACGATCCCTGTGCAGGCTCAGGGATCCCAGGGATCCCAGGGATTCCTAACCCTCCAGCAAAACCGACCTGGGGATCCACCAGCGATCCCGCGCTCAGAATCCCTGGGATCCTTGAGCCCGCACAGGGATCGCGACGTCGGTTGTCAGCAAACCATATGACCTCAGGGATCCCAGGGATTCCAGGGATGCGAAGTCACGATCCCTGAGCAGGCTCAGGGATCCCAGGGATTCCAGGGATGCGACGTCACCATCCCTGTGCAGGCTCAGGGATCCCAGGGATCCCAGGGATTCCTGACCCTCCAGCAAAATCGGCCTGGCGACTTCGCAAAGATTTGGGGGGTTGGGAATCCCTGGGATCCCTGGGATCCCTGAGCCTGCACAGGGATCGTGACTTCGCATCCCTGGAATCCCTGGGATCCCTGAGCCTGCTCAGGGATCGTGACTTCGCATCCCTGGAATCCCTGGGATCCCTGAGAAATCATATGGTTTGCTGACAACCGACGTCGCGATCCCTGTGCGGGCTCAGGGGGATCCCAGGGATTCTGAGCGCGGGATCGCTGGTGGATCCCCAGGTCGGTTTTGCTGGAGGGTTAGGAATCCCTGGGATCCCTGAGCCTGCACAGGGATCGTGACTTCGCATCCCTGGAATCCCTGGGATCCCTGAGCCTGCTCAGGGATCGTGACTTGCATCCCTGGAATCCCTGGGATCCCTGAGACATCATATGGTTTGCTGACCACCGACGTCGCGATCCCTGAGCAGGCTCAGGGATCCCAGGGATTCTGAGCGCGGGATCGCTGGTGGATCCCCAGGTCGGTTTTGCTGGAGGATTAGGAATCCCTGGGATCCCTGGGATCCCTGAGCCTGCACAGGGATCGTGACTTCGCATCCCTGGAATCCCTGGGATCCCTGAGCCTGCTCAGGGATCGTGACTTGCCATCCTTGGAATCCCTGGGATCCCTGAGAAATCATATGGTTTGCTGACAACCGACGTCGCGATCCCTGAGCAGGCTCAGGATCCCAGGGATTCTGAGCGCGGGATCGCTGGTGGATCCCCAGGTCGGTTTTGCTGGAGGGTTAGGAATCCCTGGGATCCCTGGGATCCCTGAGCCTGCACAGGGATCGTGACTTCGCATCCCTGGAATCCCTGGGGTCCCTGAGCCTGCTCAGGGATCGTGACTTCGCATCCCTGGAATCCCTGGGATCCCTGAGCCTGCACAGCGATCGTCACTTAGCATCCCTGTGCATCCCTGGAATGCCTGAGAAATCATATGGTTCGCTTATCGCTCTTTTTAGCGCTGCCGCTGATATCTTATACCTGTTCTCCCAAAGGCGGGGGAAGCGGACGCTTGCATCTTCTGAGGTTGCGTTAGAAAAAGCATTCCGCTTGCAACACGTGACTCGGGAAGAGGAACGGAAAGGAGCAGGGATGATGAGAAGAGGATGCGTCTCCAGCTTCGTGGAAGAGGGAGAAGGCGTAGAGTGGGTGCTGGGGGGGGGGCTGTCCACATATATATATATATATAGAGAGAGAGAGAGAGAGAGAGAGAGAGAGATGTGTGTGTGTATATATATAGTCCCTTGTCTATATTTTAATAATTCCGGGGGTGCGGACCCCCCCCCCGAAACGGGACCCCCCGGATCCGTGCCACGGGGGCGGTCGAAAATCCTTTCCAAGGCGTGCACGCAGGCGGGCGGCAGTGCCAAATCGGTCGGCGCAAGCCCACAGAGACACCCAAGACAGTCCAGGATAGCACCCGGGTAGCCTTGAAGACCCTCCGCGAGAGCCCCAAGACCGCAAAATCATTGAATTTCCATTGGTTTTTCAATGTTTTTTAGCGTTCTCGCTTTTTCGGGTTTCCGACGCTCCCGGACCGCCCAAAGAAGCTCCCAAAACCGCTCCAGGACGGCCCAAGAAGCTCCCAGAGCGCGCTGAGAGCGCCCCAAGACGGTCCAAGACGCGCCCGAGATGGCCCACGAACGCTCCAAGACGGCCCAAAAGGGGCCCCAGGGCCCCAGGGGGAACCACGAACTGAAAATACGAGCCTCCCGCC